TCGAGATCACATTAATTGATAGATGAGTTGGCTATATGTTGCCGTAAATTCTATTCTAATAGTTTCTTCTCTAGACCTTCTCGCTTGTGGAACTCCCGTCCGTTTCCATGCCTCCCAGCCAATTTTAATCTGCAAAAAATTAAATGCAATGTCAATCGCCATCTAGTATGCTCCTGATTACTCTTTTCTTTTTCTGCTCATCATTAATGTTTCTGTACCCAATTTTTATACACCCTGTAACCCCTTAGGTTTTAGTGACTTTTAGCATGGCTGATGCTAACCCTCAGGAAAGTGATTCTTTGCACCTTCTCAGGTTAACGTTCTCTGCTGACATGAAGGGGAAAGACTATTTCACGTTGACTGCTGACCTGAGATGGAACAAATACATTGAGACAATTGCTTCGTCCACCGCAAGGAAAGTTGGCTCCCTGTGCCGCACCAGGAAATTTTTCTCCCCAGAATCGAGCCTCCAGATCTACAAATCAACAATTCGTCTTTGCATGGAGTATTGCTACCATATATGGTCTGGAGCCCCTTCTGTTTGCCTCGGGGTTCTTGATAGGCCCCAGAGGCGGATATGCAATATAATTGGCCCTGATCTGGCATCTCGTCTACAGTCACTTTCTCAGAGATGTGCCGTCGCCTCTCTCTGTCTGTTTTACAAATACTTTCATGGCAATTGCTCCGAGGAGCTGCATTCGCTGGTTCCCAGACTTCATGAGTTCAAGCGCCCGACGAAGCTGGCATCCCGCTCTCACCCCTTCACTGTCGAAACTATTAAATGTAGCCGTCTCTTCTACTCCAGTAGCTTCATGTCTCGCACCTCCCGCCTGTGGAACTCTCTTCCCTATTCCAGATTCCCTGAGAGCTATAATCTCCAATTGTTCAAATGTAATGTCAATCGACATCTCCAGTTGCCTTGATCTATCCACTATCCTTCTCCTCATTTTTTCCTCTATCACGCCTATCTGATCTTGCTCCAAATTTTCTGTAACCCCTTGCGTCCTAGTGGCTTCTCGCCTTGCTTGGGGTGAAACGCTAAAAAAAAAAAGAAAAGTAATTCCGATAAAAAAAAATCTAGCAATATCGACAATCGTGCGCATGTTTATCTAAATTTATTCGTCACGAGTTCTGCTGAAACAGAAAATATTGGCTTTTATTTGAGAAGTTTGATGGCTGATTGATTGGTAAAGAAACAGATCTCCGGTGTCCCGTTTGTGAGTTGTGCATGTCGGGAAAGTCTGCTTTATTTCCGGAAAGATGGAACCAGGCCAATATATTCAGCTGCAAGCAATTCTCACGAGAATCTTAGGGGGCCATCAAGATAGAGCCTACTGAAAATGTCTCCTTGTTCTTGGCCAAAGGACAATATTTGACGGAGATGATTGGAGGTAAAAAAAACTCTGGAGGAATAAAAAAAAACAAAACAAATATTGTAAAACCTTCTTGAAAGAAAAAGAAAAAACTTTGTATAATCAACACAGAAAGAGTTTGTAGTGATATACGATGATGCTCATTAAACAAACTGCGTTTGGAAAGATGACCCTTTGAGTGCACATGACAGCTCAGAGAACATAGTAGCGATACACTTCGACCGGTCTCGACCAAAATATTTTGGGCTAGGACGAGTGTGGGTTGGGAGCTGTGACAGCATTTTTCCTAAAGAGAGAAGAGTCCAAGCCAGTCTTCCTGAGCGGTGAGCGCCACGATGAAACAAACTGCGATTAGAAGAATGGCACTTTAACTGGGAATGGCAGCTGAAAGCACATAGAGACGGTATATTTTCAAACATTCCCGGCACAAATATTTTGATCTGGAACGAGTGTGGGTTGGGAGCTGCGACATGATTTTTCCTAAAGAGGAAAGAGTTCAAGCCAGTCCTCCTATCACGCTCATCGTTTTCCCATTTATAAAATTAGTCATCCCGTCTTGATGCTGAATAGACCAGAATGTTTTTTTCAACTGTTTTTTGGACGGTTGAGGGGTTCTGCTTCTAGTCGCAACTAATACCCAAGAAGCATCATCTAAATCTTAACCAGGAAAATCTTTCCGAAAAGCAACGCCCCATACAATCAATTTCCCATTGTTTCGTTTACTTTGCGCTAATACACGTAGAAAACAGATGAACGGTTAATTTTTATGGGTTATCAACCTTTTGTACATTATTTAAGGGCAGAAAATATTTTTAGAGTGTAAGAAATTTTGGGGAGATAACAATTATTTACTGATACACATTCCACTAATTAACCCATAGCTGAGGGGAGAGTAGTTGGATTCACACCTTTTTCCCTGGTAAGTGAATATAACAAACCCGAATGGAATTGGAACTAAGAGCTCAGATTTTAAAATCCGAGCCATTATCCAGTAAACCACCCGCACATCCGAGCTTATTAGCAACTGGTATTCCAAAGCGGTCACCCACTTAGGTACTTACCAGACTCGACGTTGCTTAACTTCAGTAATCGTACGAGAACCAGTGTTTCAATGTGACATAGCCGTAAGACAGAAAACAGATGAATTCTTCTCCCGCTATCCAAGGGTTAAATAACAGATCAAAATGGGCTCTCTAGTTTTTGGGTGGCAACCAATTTAGGAGAAGGAAATCTCGAAATGAAAACACGACGTTGGATATTTGGGGACTGTTTCACTGTTGTCAGTTATTCCGGAAAATGTGGCCGGTTCTACAGAAGAAGAAAATGTGGCCGGTTCTACAGAAGAAGAAAATGTGGCCGGTTCTACAGAAGCCTACACCGTGATAATCAAATCGTCTGTGCGTGTAGTCCAATGGTCCATTTCTCAACTAAATTTGGTGTAGCATGCGTAGGATATGCACCCTTCGGCTTACCTGTTTATATTTCTGAGATGAGGTATTATGTACATTATTTACATAATTCGGAATAAGGAGTACCAGAGAAAAGCGATAATAACAACAAAAATTGCAATATGAGCTCTGGTAATAACATAGAATGATATCATCAAAAATTGCAATATGAGCACTGTTAAAAAAAATGGTTGCTGAAGACATTAGGTTTATACTCAAACGTCCCAAGGACAAATGGCACAGTGGATAAAGCGTTCATTTCATCCAGTTAAGGACCTAAAGAGTGTGAGTTCAATACCAGGTTAAGGCAGTGGAGAACTTTCTGAAGGGAATTAACAGGCGATAACATATTCAGCCACGAGGGCGTCATGTGGCACAAGGCCTTTTTAACGTGGGCTTGTGCGTAGCCTCTTTCGGGGTCTTCCCCGCCCGAAGGCAGAGAGTTCAACCGATCTGTCGTTCAAGAGTTGAGCGACTGACTATCGCAGGATTAACAGGAGATAACGTGGCATGCTCAATATGTGCATTATATATTATCTACTTCTAGGTGATATCACTCTTCAGGTTTAACTAATTTGCATATTGATTTTAAAAAAGTATATTTTATTAATTAACTGTCCTTCATTAGTGTTCTTTTATTCAATGATTGTTTTGAGTTTCATATCAAAAATAGTTCTGTTTAGGAATATTTTCTTATATAATGCAGAAAAGTGTTTGACATTTTCATTTTACTTGGTCTTCAACAAGTTGGCATCTATTTGTAAAACTTTAAGTATAACAAGCCAATTTATGAATGTAACCTTTATTTAAAGTCTTTGTTTCAAATATTTCAACTAGTGAATATATCTGACTTTACGAAGCGATAGTGAGCCTGTTAGTATTTTATAGAATACGATACTAAATTATCTATCAGACAATTATGTGCCATGCGTGATAGACGCTTAGGCGATCATATATCTTTCGATACATGACTGACGGAGCAGATTTTTTTCCTGCAGTGGGTTGCCATTACTTTCTGCCATCCAAGACTTTAGAACATAGTCTGTCCTGCTGTTTACCCATAGCTGGGGGAGAAGAAGAGAATTCATAGCTTTCCCAAGGGTATTATCACGTAAGTGAATGTAATGGATTCGACTGGAATTCGAACTCGGCTCTCCGATTTCTCCGTCCGAACTGCTATCTATTACTCCACCGTGCCAAGAATACGATACCAAATTTTCCATACGTTAAATAATTGTTTATTTCTTTCTGGACTTCTCAAATTAATGTAGAAGATATATATTCAGTTACCTGATCAATGCATATCCTAACTTCTACTGGGTTGACTTCCTGTTTATCTCTTCGTGGTCCTATGTTGCACCTGGTGACTATGAGAACACCTTCTATGTCAACTCTAAGGGTCACCTATAGCTTTTGATGTTCTAATGTGACATCGAGTTCAAATATTATTCTGCTGTTTCTCAGAGTGAACCTGGTTCATATCGGGTCACCTCTTAGGATCAAATGTTCCTGATCACTATTTAATTCGATTCAAACCTCTGGTACAAATATTTAAGTAAATGCTCTGTTTATAATAAACAGTATTAATAACATTTACCAGCCTGAATGTCCGAGAAATTTTCATAGAATATATTCGTTCTCCGACAGGAATCGAACCTGTAACCTATACGGAACTCTCATTTAGCTTGACATGCTCCTAACCGATCAAGCCACAGAGAATCGTTCGATTAGCCAGGTTGAATTTACTGTCTTTAAACTACAATGTTCCATGAATCTCTCACGTATATTCATATCTGCTCATGGCGTATCAAATGTAAACAAATGACGGCACACATTAGGAAATGGACAAAGTAAATGCTCTGTTTATAATATTCGGAGGACAAATATTTTCTATGAAATTTCTCGGACATTCAGGCCGATAAATGTCATTAATACTGTTTATTATAAACAGAGCATTTACTTAAATATTTGTATCTATAAAAAAGAATGCATAAATATAAAAATGTCTTAAAATAATTGTCCGACTTTGTCCATTTCATAATGTGTGACGTCATTTGTTTACATTTGGATAGGCCTTGAGCAGATATGAATGTATGTGAGAGAATCATGGAAGATTGATGTTTAAAGGCAGTAAATTCGACCTTGTAAACCGGACGCTCCTCAGTAAACAAATCGGTTAAAGGCACATCAGGCTATATGACGGTTCCGTATAGAATACAGGTTCGATTCCTGCCGGAGGAAGAATATTTTGTATGAAAATTTCTCGGACATTCCGGCCGGTAAATGTCGTTAATACTGTTTATTATAAACAGAGCATTTACTTAAATATTTGTATCTATAAAAAGAATGTATAGTCATAAAAATAATTTTCGGACTTTGTCCATTTCATTTTATATATATATATATATATATATATATATATATATATATATATATGGTTGATATTACTAAGCATTTCATCATTCTTTTCTTTGTTACGAAATTTCCGCGGCGTTCCCTAATAAATTGTGAGCTTTCTAAATATCTTAGCATATTCTAGTTAAATGAAATGTTTGAAAGCGAATCATGCCAATAAAGCCACCATGATGCAAGGGGTTACAATGAAACAAAGATGACGATTGATATTGCATTTAAATTTTTGAAGATCAAAGTTGGCTGGAAAGCATGAAGTCGGAAGAGAGTTCCACAGGCGAGAAGTGAGAACAATAAAGGAAGAGGAATCAAGAAGACAGTAGATAACGATTGACATTGCATTTAAATTTTTGAAGATCAAAGTTGGCTGGAAAGCATGAAGCCGGAAGAGAGTTCCACAGGCGAAAAGTGAGAACAATAAAGGAAGAGGAATCAAGAAGACAGTAGATAACGATTGACATTGCATTTAAATTTTTGAAGATCAAAGTTGGCTGGAAAGCATGAAGCCGGAAGAGAGTTCCACAGGCGAGAAGTGAGAAGAAAAAAGGAAGAGGAATCAAGAAGACATTAGATGTCGATTGACATTCCATTTAAATTTTTGAAAATCAACGTTGGCTGGAAAGCATGAAGCCGGAAGAGAGTTCCACAGGCGAGAAGTGAGAACAATAAAGGAAGAGGAATCAAGAAGACAGTAGATAACGATTGACATTGCATTTAAATTTTTGAAGATCAATGTTGGCTGGAAAGCATGAAGCCGGAAGAGAGTTCCACAGGCGAGAAGTGAGAAGAATAAAGGAAGAGGAATCAAGAAGACATTAGATGTCGATTGACATTCCATTTAAATTTTTGAAGATCAAAGTTGGCTGGAAAGCATGAAGCCGGAAGAGAGTTCCACGGGCGAGAAGTGAGAACAATAAAGGAAGAGGAATCAAGAAGACAGTAGATAACGATTAACATTGCATTTAAATTTTTGAAGATCAAAGTTGGCTGGAAAGCATGAAGAGAGTTCCACAGGCGAGAAGTGAGAACAATAAAGGAAGAGGAATCAAGAAGACAGTAGATAACGATTAATATTGCATTTAAATTTTTGAAGATCAAAGTTGGCTTGAAAGCATGAAGCCGGAAGAAAGTTCCACAGGCGAGAAGTGAGAAGAATACAGGAAGAGGAATCAAGAAGACAGTAGATAACGATTGACATTGCATTTAAATTTTTGAAGATCAAAGTTGGCTGGAAAGCATGAAGCCGGAAGAGAGTTCCACAGGCGAGAAGTGAGAACAATAAAGGAAGAGGAATCAAGAAGACAGTAGATAACGATTAATATTGCATTTAAATTTTTGAAGATCAAAGTTGGCTTGAAAGCATGAAGCCGGAAGAGAGTTCTACAGGTGAGAAGTGAGAACAATAAAGGAAGAGGAATCAAAAAGACAGTAGATAACGATTAATATTGCATTTAAATTTTTGAAGATCAAAGTTGGCTAGAAAGCATAAAGCCGGAAGAGAGTTCCACAGGCGAGAAGTGAGAAGAAAAAAGGAAGAGGAATCAAGAAGACAGTAGATAACGATTGACATTCCATTTAAATTTTTGAAGATCAAAGTTGGCTGGAAAGCATGAAGCCGGAAGAGAGTTCCACGGGCGAGATGTGAGAACAATAAAGGAAGAGGAATCAAGAAGACAGTAGATAACGATTAATATTGCATTTAAATTTTTGAAGATCAAAGTTGGCTTGAAAGCATGAAGCCGGAAGAGAGTTCTACAGGTGAGAAGTGAGAACAATAAAGGAAGATGAATCAAAAAGACAGTAGATAACGATTAATATTGCATTTAAATTTTTGAAGATCAAAGTTGGCTAGAAAGCATGAAGCCGGAAGAGAGCTCCACAGGCGAGAAGTGAGAAGAAAAAAGGAAGAGGAATCAAGAAGACATTAGATGTCGATTGACATTCCATTTAAATTTTTGAAAATCAACGTTGGCTGGAAAGCATGAAGCCGGAAGAGAGTTCCACAGGCGAGAAGTGAGAACAATAAAGGAAGAGGAATCAAGAAGACAGTAGATAACGATTGACATTCCATTTAAATTTTTGAAGATCAAAGTTGGCTGGAAAGCATGAAGCCGGAAGAGAGTTCCACGGGTGAGATGTGAGAACAATAAAGGAAGAGGAATCAAGAAGACAGTAGATAACGATTGACATTGCATTTAAATTTTTGAAAATCAACGTTGGCTGGAAAGCATGAAGCCGGAAGAGAGTTCCACAGGCGAGAAGTGAGA